ACCTATATACATAACAGTTTTGTACCTTTTTTATTTTCAAAGTTTCTCTACAGAAAGTTGCGGTTCGCTTCTATAATAACAGATGCAATTTAAAGAATTCGATTAGCCTAGCAGACAGCTGAGAAAACCGGTTTCGATTAAGTAACAATCGACCTCTCGTCTGATCGATTAACTAGCAGATTTTCAACATTCTGACCCTTAGAATCTCACCCGGATACCTTTTCCGACAAACGAGCAAATCCTGGTATCGTTCTTCCTTCCTGGAACTCATAGTTAATTATCTTCCTCGAGGTAAATTCCAGGGTGCACAGTCGTCAATCGTGTTTGAAGGGAAATGTTGATCGAGCGACTTTCACGTAACTTCAAATTAACCTCTGATATAATACGTACTTGGGAAAAGCGGTTCTGGTTTTCAGGCGGACTAACCAAGTCCTTTTTGCAGGGAAAGTTCATTTAAGGGATGCCAATTGGTCGTTTAGGTAACGCAGTGTAGCTTGAAATCTGAACTATTGGCGAAAAATTTGCAGAGTGATAACAGGGCTATAGGAACATTGCTGATAAAATCGCGTGAACGTAAAGCAATGAAATTAGGTAAACTATTGGGTAAAGCTTACCTAGTTAAGTTTAGTTACTAGTTTAGTTACTAGTTTAGTTTCTAGTTAAACTTGGGTGAAGCAGTAAAGCAGTAATTAGGTGAAGCAGGTAGTAACAAAACCGCACGAATATTATGCTGGTAGAATTATGACAATGTTGCTAGTATATTCTAGTAGTTAAATTGTATAATTTTTATGTTACTAGTATAATCATTGATGTAAAATATAAATATTATATCTACTAGTTAAATTATACAGATATTGTTGGTAAAAAACAATGCTCATTCGAGGTTTCAAATATTGAATAAAAAGTTATTTAAGTATTTTTAATAATAACTAAAATTACGTAAATAGTAATAGAAAATAATAAGAGTATTATTAGTAAAATTGTATAAATGTTAATAAAAAGTTATGCAAAAATACTAACGAAATCATGTGCCTAAATATTGGTAGTGAAATCATGTAAATATCACATGTAATTAGGTGAAGCAGTTAGTAACAAAATCGCATGAATATCATGCTGTTAGAATGATGACAATGTTGCTAGTATATTCGTATAGATATTCTAGTAGATAAATTATAGAATTTTTATGTTACTAGTGAAATCATTGATGTAAAATATAAATATTATATCTTCTATTAAATATAATATTAAATAACTATTAAATATTGTTGGTAGAAGACAAACCTCATACGAGGTATCAAATAGCGAATAAAAAGTTATTTACATATTTTTAATAATAATTAAAATCACGTAAATAGTAATAGAAAATAATAAGAATATTATTAGTAAAATTATATAAATGATATTAAAAAGTTATGCAAAAATATTATCGGAATCATATGCCTAAATATTGTTAGTGAAATCTTGTAAATATCACTACCAAAATCAGGTAAATATTACTAGCAAAGTCGTGTAAATTGTGTCAGTAGAATGTTGTATTTATAAAATATTTTTATTAAATTTATGGAAATATTATTAGCAACGTATGTAAATAATACTAGTAGAGTTATATAAAGACTGCTAGCAGTAAAATAACACAGATAGTACTAGTAAAAATCCCGTAACTATTGCCAATACGTAATCATCAAAATGTCACTAGTACTCTCACATTCCTGTCTAAGCACCTAATAGAATGTTATTTTTTGAAACGTAATTTAAGAAAATATAGGAAACGATGCATTATTTCTTCAGAATGTCGTGTATTATAATAGGTTCGAAGAAAAATTACTATAAAGACACGTTTTAAAATCTCGAGGAAGTTAATTACCCATTTATTTATAATAATTCGTGTAATCCACTTTGTTGCAATTTTTAATCTAGCAATTTTTATAACGTTCTACTAGAGTGTAGTATTTATGGGTTCAATTCACTCAATAAGGCCAGTTATTCCAATTAATACTTGGCATTACTATAGTTCACCGTAAAAACATATTCATGGCACATTTACGTGGCAGTACAAAATGCGAGAATCACGAGCACGCGATCGACTTTACAAGCAAAATGCTAATAATAACACATAAAAATAAATGACTTTTACATTTTAATAGCAGCAACTTTCTCGCGACTCTACATTTTTACGAAGGCACGACATACAGATATTATACTTTGGAAATAAAATGGTAATATAACGGCTCATGAAATAATCGATAAGAAAGTTAAGGAAATAAAACTATTACCTTGCATGTATTAATTGCAATAATATAAGTTTATACATTTTTCCAAGGATACGAAATTATAGAGTACGTAATAATTTGACATAATAAAAGCTAATATCGAGACTTAGAAAATATTATAAAGCAATATTAACAGTGTGGTTTGTAATTTATTATTGTTAATTAGTGTGCACATATTTTGGTGATTTTGAAATTTTTATTATTAACTTTATTATTATTATTATTGACATATTATAGAAAAAGAGAGATTTTTATTTTCTTTTTCAATATGAAAATAGAATCTTAAACTAGGATTTATTTATTGTATTTCAAACTCGACTATCACCAATTAAAAGAGTATGAAATTTCATATAAATGCATGTTTAAATTTTTTAAATTAAAGGAATTTTTAAATTTTAGTTTTTAAATGTTTAAATACTATTTTATTTTTATTTTATTTATTGATTTATTGAATATTTAGAAATTTATTATTATTGCATTTCGTTTTAATTAAAGAGTGATCAGGAAATTATTGTTTTATTTAAAAATATATATTTTATTTTATTTAGAGATCCTTTAATCAAATAAAATATGTACGTGAATAAAATTATTTCATATTAAGGCAACAAATCTTGGCGGTTTATAATAAAATACTAGAAAGTGCAGATTGGACTAATGGACTACTTCTTCGGATAAAGTAGTTTGAAAAAGTTAAACGAGTAAACACTTCTTTGACCCACTGTGCATAAGAAACTCAATCTTGTAAGAAAAAGTCATTTTATACGCAAAATTAGTACAACTAAGAAAGGAAATTCAAGGATATTGAACTCTTGGTATAAACCTTTCAAAACACATTTTGACATAATCACTAATCAATATGTATTTAGCTTCTTATCAGAAAGTAGTACAAAGAAATCTTCATTAATATTTACACAAATAAATATCAAACAGAAATATGTAATGTACAAAATTTTCACATAATTATCTATGTATTATGTATGTAACACATAATTATTATAAAATTGGAATACTCTATATTTGCCATGCAGGAAAAACTTTAATTAATTAAGTTAAGTAATTAAGTTATAGGAATAGATAAATTTCATTTCCTAAAATATTATAACATATGTCAATACTTCATGTAATATTATTCTATATAATGTACAATTATTATAAACTTGAAAAAATTTTATATTTACTTACAGGACAAATTTTTATCGAATCAGAATATGCAGGTAAATAAATATCTTTCATTTCCTAACATGTTATAACATATGTATATAATAATATATTAATTATTATTAACATATTATCATGTATTTTTTTTTAGATACATCATACAAATTACTAATTGAGTAATTACCAACTGTACACTTGGATGTCAAATAATTTCGAGTTCATCGACCTCTGACCCAGTGACCCAGCAATAAATAGTCAGTCCACCAGCAAGAAGTCTGTCCAATTCTTAACGAAACATTCATTGACCCTTGACCAAGTGGAAAGTAATCGAGTCTAAGCGGACAGGAATTCGTCATTAATCGAGGCATAGCTACGTATCGAAACGTCACAGTTGCAGGCTTTCTGGTACACCTAGCCGGATCATTTCCTGGGTAACGGCGACAGAAATGCTGCATGCCGTGCATACGGGGCGCGTTTGTTACGTGACGAACGGGCGGGGGACCTGCAGGATGGGGAAGAAAAAAAAATTTCAGTCGAAACCGACCAACCGTGAAAGTTAGTGGTTGGCCGGACCATTTACCCTGGAAACGCTCGCCCATATAGAAGTGCGTCGCGACGCGGCCGCCAGTTTCGTTCAGCTGCCATCCCGAAATCGCCTACACCTTCGCCATGAAGTTCATCGTGAGTACAAGTTAAATTTATATCTTCTCAATTGTAGAAATTAATTTTAAAAGGAATTATTTTTTTCTATTTTTGTAACTGCTCTTTGCTTTATATTATTATCGTGTTTTTAATTTAACGACGTCTTTGTCATGAAGTTCATTGTGAGTACAACTTAAATTTATGTCTCCTCAACTGTCGAAATTAGTTTCAAAACTGATTACGTCTCCTATTTTGTAAACTGCTCTTTGTTTTATATTATTATTATTTGTTTAATTTGTCTACGTTTTTGTCATGAAGTTCATCGTGAGTACAAGTTAAATTTATGTCTCCTCAACTGTCGAAATTAGTTTTAAAACTGATTACGTCTCCTATTTTGTAAACTGCTGTTTGTTTTATATTATTATTATTTGCTTAATTTGTCTACGTTTTTGTCATGAAGTTCATCGTGAGTACAAGTTAAATTTATGTCCCCTCAATTGTCAAGGTATTATTTTGTTCTATTTTGTTAACAGCTCTTTGCTTTATTAAATTAATTTTTCAAAGTGCTTATTTTTTTCTATTTTGGTAACTGCACTTTGCTTTATTTTGTTATTATGTTTTTAATTTGACGACATCTTTGTCATGAAGTTCATTGTGAATACAACTTAAATTTATATCTTCTCAATTGTTGAAATTAATTTTAAAAGTGCTTATTTTTTTCTATTTTGGGAACTACTCTTTGCTTCATATTGTTATTATTTTTTTAATTTGTCTACGTCTTTGTCATGAAGTTCATCGTCTCTTGCAAGTTAAATTTATGTTTCCTCAATTATTGCGATTAATTTTAGAAGGGATTATTTTTTTTTTATTTTCGTAACTGCTCTTTGTTTTACATTGTTACTATCTTTTTAATTTGTCTACATCTTTGTCATGAAGTTTATCGTGAGCAGAAGACAGCTTTATATCTTCGCAATTTTTGAAAATAATTTTGGAGATGATTACCTTCTTTGCTTTGTAAATTGCTTTCCATTTTGTATTATCATTGTTAGCTTTCTGAGTTGTTTACGTCTTCGTTGTGAAGTTCGTCGTAAGTACAAGTCAGTTTTGTATCTTCGTAATTTTTAAAAATAATTTTGGAAATGATTACCTTCTTTGCTTTGTAAATTGCTTTTTATTTTGTATTATTGTTGTTATTTTTTTAATTTGTTTACTTCTTTGCTGTGCACTTCATCATGAGTACAAGCGAACTTTATATCTTCGCAATTTCTGAAAATGATTTTGGAATTAATTATCTTCTCTGCTTCGTATTATTGTTATTGTTTTAATTTGGTAGTATACACTTTCCCCATGAAGTTGATCGTGAATACAAACTAACTTTGCTTCCTTAATTAAATATATAAATATAATAAATTAAATTAAATACGTAATTAAATATAATTCCTTAAAAATAATTTTTGGAATAATTGTCTTTGTGATTTTGTAAATTGATTTTTATTTTACATTGTTACCATTGTCTTTTGAATTTATTCAAGTGCTAAAGGTAAATTGGATAAGTAGTCGGTATGCTTTGTGCAAGGAGAGGATATATATCTACGCTTTTGCTTTATCTCGACTTATTTAGAGGATGAATTATGTGAAAATTGTTCCATCAAGTGCTTGGTTTCTCTGCTTTGCAATTCGATGTAAGTTGTATTGTTTATCAACGAAATGGAAGATTAACGATGATTAATCTAATCTGCTGACTCCGTGACAGTTTAGAGATTTATTATACATACAGTAGACAGTGGAAATTAAATCGTGAGTAATTTGGATATGATTGTAGGGAGTAGATAATCTTGATTGTGTGTTTATTGTTTCCTGGTGATAGTTAATGAGTGATTGACTTCCCTGTATCCTGACTTCAATAATTTCCCTTGTTTTTTGAATAATATAAAATATAAAAAGCAATTATACCTTGATGTTCAATATTAATGCACAATGCTTTATTAGTATATTAGTTAATTATAAAATATTTACAAATTGATATTATATTTTATTAATAGCAACGATAAATAAGATTTAGGAATTTTTTATTTATGAGAACTATATTTGTTTAACAACTTTGTAAAAATTTATTTATCAAATATTTTTGACAACTTTTATTTGTTTCTGTCAATCATTTTTTTCTCGGAATTTTTTTCTAAATAATTTTTCTAAACTAAAAGTTCATTGCATATTTAAAAAATTATAGATCTCCATTTTGAAAATTCAATTTGTAATAATTTCTTTACAAAATTTAAATATGGTTATCACGTTAATTCATTTACCAAATTAAATTAAATCGTAAAAATATATTAAACTCAACAAAATAAATAAAAATTTCATTTCCTTATCTCAAAAATTCAACTCTCAAAAAATAAAATTGCCTAATATTAAAATAAACTAAGAAACTCCTATTACCACAAACTCAACGTTCATTGAAACGTATTATATCAAAAAATAAACCTATATCCCTGCTCTCTAGTTTTCTAGACCAATTAATCTCGTCACAAATTACCATGCCTAAAGGAAAAAAGACTAAAACATCGCTAACCTTAATATCCAAGTTTACCAAACTGATTAGAAATTATCTGACACAGTTTCACCTAATTATTTCGCATAAAATCGCATTATCGTAACCGAGAAATCGCACAGGTATAGCTTTCGAAAGGTGTGTGCGTGTGGTATCCGAGTGTCGAATGCTTTCATCCTTTCGCCTCGTGTGAACTTATTCCACGAGTATAGCTTGGTGTATGTAAATAAGCGAACACGAACTCCGTGTGCAATGGTGTGCATCGTGAGAGATCGGCAAACTATGCTGGCCAGCTTTCTCGATAGCGAGCCGATTTTTCCTTCCATCGTTATCCACGATTTTCACACGTACGCGATTTTTTATGCCATTTGCAAGAAATAATTTACACCACCTCTCATGCTGTTCCATTTTCTTGACGATACATTCATATCCGTTATGGGACTCGATGTGGGTCACGCTAGAGAGCGAGCTTTTGTTGCTTTATGTCGGCCATTTTTGCGTCACGGGCCATTTGCTTAATAGACGAACATAGAAAGTAGCAGATACTAATTAGAAATTCGGAGGATATAAAAATTAAATAACACGAAATGGTGACGATTTTATAGATAATTAACGTCATATAAATATCGCTTTACAAATTCCTTGGTAATTATAAATGACACTAAGTGTAACAAGAAATGGTAAATTAATTGAAGATATAATTATGTTCTTAAGTACGGTTGATAAGATTTTGTTTTTAGATTTCAATTTTGATTCTAGAAGGATTAAGGAGATTAGTTAACACGTTCGTCACCGTGTCACCCATATCTGGGTGAAGAGTATGCTTCCGTGAGGACCTCGTCACCCAAATATAGGTGACGATCTTCTTGTTCAAGTTAAATAGGATTTTCAGCTGGATTTTTCAAAGGAATTTAATGGAATACGCACTGAATTATAAATATAGGATATACAACATAAAAATATGAAAAATATACACATTATACTATTCTTTTTATTAATTTACTAATAGGATAAAATATTACATTATACTATATCATGTGGTATTCGTTAAAACAGTCTAAACACATTTGAGGTGATTTTGGACAATTGGAACAATAGGTCGTAGTGTTTTTACATTTTTCGTAATTGCCTGTCAATATGTTTACGAGTGGTAAAACTTTAACAAGTCTGCTACTCTGTTCTATCGTTTCGTTATTTGCAAAATTCAAGTTTGTTGATAGTAATTCAAAACGATTACAGGAAATGGAAAATTGTAAATAGGGTCCATTGACCAACATCTAACGAGCGGTGTCTGTACTAGATCCATCCAAATCATCAGTCCGATAACGTTCTAGCGCACAGACAGTAGGATTTGGGCCCCGCGAGAAACTCAACCGAATCGCGTCAATCGACGAACGTGTTAATGAATTGAGTAAGTGATACGAGGTTTCTAATGATTGTTTTGTATTTTAGGTTTTAATATTAACCGTGGTGCCCATTTATGCCACTGGTGACATGTTTGGTGACCTCTTGGGACAGGAACTTCACTATGCAACTATTGGTAAACTATATTTTTCAATATAAATTTTACATACTTCTTCATTACATGTTTACTATATATATCATTTATAAATTGTATATATTTTTTAATTATACGTAGATTTGTGCACAGTAATTTTACAGCCTTCCTATTTTTCTTAATTAATGTGGAACTAGTCACTTCCCTCAATTATATATATTTGTCTTTTCCAAACTTATATTCGAAATGTATTATATGTGTAAGAATCACATTTCGAAACTTAGAAACAAGAATATATGAAAAATCAAAAATATAATTTAACACTAGATTTACGGAACCCGTCAATTTGACAGAAGGGTTGCTCCAATTATACGATGGTAACAGATTTAGTTAACTTATATTAAGACTGTTAACCCTTTACACTCGAGAGACCCCTCTCAGTCAACATTTAATTAGATTCTGAAGATCGATGTTAATTAATATATCAAATTCAAAATTACCCAACGATGCGTGCAATGTCGAAGTAAAATAATTCTACGTCTTAATTTGCATGCGATTTCTTATTTAAGAAAATCTTCGAATTACTATCTTTCTGTAACGAAAACATCGCCGAGTGCAAAGGGTTAATATAATATACAATTGTTCTTAAATTAAACTAATCGTTAAGAAAAAAGCACGTGGTTTCCATTACCTGTCAATTTGACAGGTGTCCTTAGAAAAAGGTATACAGAAATTACAGTTAAATAAATAAGAAATAGAAGATAATTCCAATCTAATTAATTTATACCGTTGTAGTTAAAAGGTAAGAAGAATTATTGGAAAAATTTCAGTTCCAAAGATTAGCCTACTAATATAATTCTAAACTTTCAGATCACGTTCGCGATAGAAGACAAGCCGGCAATTACCGTACAGTGAACCAGGCACCAGCGCAGATCCAACAGCTCCTGCACGCGCAGAACTCGCGTCCACCCATCATTCCAGTCCCATCGCAGCCAGTTCCCAAACTGGGTTCAAATCAACCGGCCCAGCCTCAGCAAGTGTCGCAGACGCAGGTCTCGCAGTACAGACCGCAAGTGACATTCGCGTCTGGTGTCCAGCAGCCGGACTACAGAGGTATCCCAGCGTCTAGGGGCCAGGGGCATCCTGCGCAGGCGCCGCAGTACCGCCCTCTGCCTCAGCCCAATTACAACGCAGCGCCACAGCCGCAGTATCAGTCGAAGCTGCCGCCTCACATCCAACAGTTGCTCCAATTCCAGAGCAGTTTGGGTAACTCTATCCCCGGAAGATCGTAATTAAGCACGGAAAGTAACTTTGCTTCATAGAAATTAATGGTTTTCAAGGTCGTCGGAAGTTGTTTCTTTATTCGAGTATTATAAGTAACTGGCCCGATTTTGTTCACAACTTTGGAAATGCTGTTTGTTTATTGTACTTACGTTTTAGCGAAGTTTTAGTGGAATTTTTGTAACGAGAGAGTCTAGTGCAGGATTGGCTGACTTTTGGCGAACCTAGTGGAGAAGTGGGGAATAGGATTTTAGGAGATTCCTACTGGTATTCGTAATTTGAAATTGCGAGGTTGTATTTAATTTATGATGTTGATTATAATAAAGGAGGAATAATATTAAGGTAAATAAAAATAAAGATCATTGAGCTTGGTATTATTTTACTGTGGCTTCTTTTAATTCTTGTGTTATTATTGCAATGATATTTCTCTTAGGATTGATTGGAAATTTCAGTAATTGAATTTCGAATATTTTTTAGAAATATTTAAATTTTGTGGAAATTGAATTTATTGTTTGCGTAATAACGGCTTGAAATTCTCGGAGAAAATTTAACAGAGTATTTGGAAAATTGCATTTCAGAAAATTTGGATAGGAAATATAGATAATTAACATAAAAATCTTTCAGATTTGTGAATTTTTACTTATTTGACACTTCCACTTTTACACCCTATACATTTGTCCTTAAAACAATAATCCACCCCAAAATTTCTCAACGGTGATCCATCTCCGCAATTCAGGGGACCCCATATTCAACCTTAGAAAATTTGAATAGTAAAAATATAGATAATTACCATAAAAAATGTTTCAAATTTGTGAATTTTCACTCATTTGACACTACCACTTTTATACCCTATATATTTGTCCTTGAAATAATAATCCACCCCAAAATTTCTCAACGGTAAGCCATCCCCGTAATCCAGGGGACCCCATACTGAACTTCAAAACATTTGAATAGTAAAAATATATATAATTACCATAGAAAATCTTTCAAATTTGTAAATTTTCACTCATTTGACACTCCACTATTAGACCCTATCTACTTATCCTTGAAACAATACTCCACCTCGAAATTTCTCAATGATGAGCCAATTAAGATGCCCGCAACCCACGGGACCCCATAGCGAATTTTTGACGTTGCTCAAAATTATCTAAACTAAGTAAGCCTAAATAGAAAGAGATAAAAGTACAACACAGACATCTATGTGTCTATTTCACAAATTCGAACTTTTAGAAAATGAAAGGAAAGCAAGATTAGTTCATCATGGAGGTTAGGAACCCGGCTCCAAACGAACACCCACAACACGCTCATAAAAATTTCACCAGAAAATCGAAACTACGTTGCATCGAATATTTTTATCGATATCATGTCGCCCACGACCAACCAAAACGTGATTTATTATCGCGTAAGACCTGGACCCAACGAAGCGAGCCAAAGGGGTTCAAGGTGGTACGGCATTACGTCAAATTACATCGTTAAACGCGCCGGTTCGCATTAAGCGCACTCAATTCGTCACTCGAGAAATCAAGGTATCATCGCACCGATGAATCCGCACAAGGGGCGGGTTTGCAGCGTTCCGGGTCGTGGCAGGGACGGCAACCCCCTCGCCGTCGCCCTCCTGTCCGCGCGACAACCCACACGTTGCAGTCTCCGACAGAGAACAGCCCCTAAACTGCGCCCGTACCGCAGTCACACCACCCTGCCCCGATTTTTACCTCCGTGCATGCCTTGAATACGTCCCCCGGATGGACTCACCGACAAACAGGGAAGAGGATTAGCGAGTCCATTAAAGTCGCGGACTCTATTATCCAGAGGGCACGGCCACGGTGACATCAACCGCCTGTCAGTGGCGTAGGAACGTGCTTTGATTTTTGTTCCGTGTCCTGCGTACGTTACTATTTGCAAAGATTTTGTTTGCGATTGTTTTATTTGTTCGTGTTAATTGCTCGACAGTGGCGTAGGAACGTGTTCTACATTTTATCGTGTATTTTGTGTATCTTGCTATTAAGAAAGATTTTATTTTTTAAATGTTTTATTTGCTCGTGCTAATTGCTTAACAGTGGCGTAGGAACGTACTTTGCATTTTATCGTATATTCTGTGTATGTTGCTATTAAGAATGCGGGTATTTTATTTTTTAAATGTTTTATCTGTTCGTGTGACAATTTGACAGTGGCGTAGGAACGTTCTTTGCCTTTTGTTATCTATTTTGTATACACTGTTATTTAGAAAGACTTTTTTAAATTGTTTTATTTGATACTGTTGGTAGCTTGACAGTGGCGTAGGAAAGTAATTTTGATTTCTACTATGTATCCTGTATTTTCTTTGGAACGTTATATTTGTTTTATTAATTGTCTGATAATAGCGAAGGAAAGGAATGTGGTTTCTGTATTGTATTGTATTTTACATTGACTTCCCTGTCATTGCATGAGGAAATAATTGTTTAAACGAATCCAATACATTAACAAAACTTCTTTTTCTAAAAATCAATTACAAAAGAAGGTTCTCTTTAGTTTATTTTACTGTCCATTCATTTATTAAGAATTATTGTGTACTATGATATACTGAATAGAAACTTTTACCTGTTCTGTTATAATTGTTAATATTATCTTCTTTCTTTTGGAGATTAATTTTTAGAAAAATAAGTTTTGTTGATTTACTGGATTCATTTAGCAATTATCTTCCTATGTAAAGACAGAGAAGTTAATGTAAAATGGATTCTGTAAAGAATTTTTTAAAATACATTTAAAAAGTTAAAAATCTTTCATTACTTATAATATATTTTAATCATGACCAAAATTAGGGTAGTCATTTGATTCAGGTATTCAATCCATGTTCCAACGATTTGAACGAAAAAGAAAAAGGGCAACCTCATTCCAATCTACCAAAATTTTACTCGTCTTCTAACAATTGAAATAAAATTTCTAATTTATAGAAGAAAATGGAATAAAGTTTCCACTATTCCATCACAAAATTCCCGAAATTATTTTCCATACAAGAAATTTTTCCATACAAGAAATTTTTCCATACAAGAAATTTTGCCATATTTTGTACACATCTTCTTCAGTAATAAATTATATACTACTCCAGAGGGAAGCAATCAGTTTCATCGGTCAATCAAGCAAATTCTCACCCCCAGCCGCAATTACCTCGAGGCATAAACCGAAACTTTGACTCGCACGTACCACAGCACCCTGTTCGAGCAACGCTTGTCTCTGGTTTCACCGTGAACCGATTTTTGCTTTTTTTCAAAAAAGAAGGCAACGTCGGATCGACGCCATTGGCAGGGCGGCGGGGCGAGGGGTCACGGAGGCAAATTACAAAGGGAGGATTACCGGCAGCTGGGCTACCAAGCAACCATCTCTCTTCTGCCTCTCGCTCGCGAGCCATCCACGTCGTTCGAGAGCTCTTTGTCCTTCGACGCATTGGTAACATAATTATCGGAGTTATAGCAAGCCAAAACCCAAGCCGCATCTGAAGGGGTCGCATGTGACGCCTGGTCACGGGCCTGATACCGTATGCACTGGCCGCATGTGCACGCGAGACCTTCTGACTGGTAATTTGCAACGCGTCCTGGCTCTGAGGATTAGGTGAGATCCGAGTGTCTCGTTATAAGATACAGTGTCCGTAGTAAATATTCAAGGAGTAAATTTGTGAGACGTATAGTAGGTTCGAGATGTCTCCATTATGAATTTGTACAGGTTAAATGTCGAAGTTTGGAATTATATTATGAATCATAGTAGTAATGAGAAGTGTACAGTATAATGGTAGTGCAATTAGATATGGCGGGTTTTCATGTGCGTGGACGGAGTGGAATTTGATAGTGATGTTTATGGAAAACATTGATTAAATTGATAAATTTAATTATAGATTGCTGTATGATACCAATACTGATATTACGATAGCAGTTATGTTGAGATAGGTGTATTATAGTATTAATATAGCATTATATGATATTAACATCAAGATAGCAACGAAATTCATATGACACTATTGATGGAATATTACATTTAATGCAGAAATAATGCTAATGTAACAATAATATAGCACTATATTACGCTAATAGTAATGTATATTGTATTAATAGTGCATAATATTAATGTTAATGTAGCAATGGGCTGAATATAATAGTAATTTAAATGAAGCAATAATGCTAATATAATAGGTACTGAATAATACTAATTTTAGTATAGCAGGTATTATATAATACTAATACTAAGACAGCAATAATAGTACACATTACACATCAACTTTTAAGTTTCAGAATATTAGGAATATAGATAATGATATACTGATAATAAGATAGATCATGTAATTTACATACTAAATAACTCCTAAATTAAATATCGATTTAGATACCTATTACATGTCTATAAAAATTGCAATATATCGATAATACAAACGTCGCACGATATCAAACGTATACTTACCGATGAAAGTTAAGAAGCAAAGTCGTTATTTGCGAATTTTTCGCGAATTTATTTGAACTCCTTGCAATATTAAAATTAAAAATAGGATAAAACGATAATAAAATAAATTTTCCTCCGAATATCTCGTACAAAACCTATTTTTAATTTCAATTTAATTATCTCAAGAAGTAAATCATATACAAAAATTGGCAAATCTTTAATCATTACTTTGTTTCCAAATTTTTGCCAGTCAGTGTTCATTATCAATAGTCAATTCGCGAATAATTGTCCAACGAGGAACAACTTTCCCGGAAACAACGTGCGTTCTATACTTTCACCAAAATCTAGTCCAAAGCTCTCAACAATACGACCATAAATTTCAACTTGACGATTTGACTTCTGTATAAAGCATAAATGAAGCATAAAAATGGCAATGATCTATAACATAGGCAAAACGTAAATTTCAGTCGATTCGATTAATACTCTTGCCTTCCTCCGGCAGCTGGCTCGTTAGGTCCCTCATTGAAAACGAGCAGACCCGTGTACACACTTTGTGCTCCTAATTACCATTAGGCGATACAGACTGTACTCGAAACAGACTCTACGT